AATTTAGTTTAGTGTCATCATCGTTTTTGTACTAAAAATTCCCTCTATGGTATCATTGATTGGCTCCAGGTAGTGGTGAGCTAGAGCCAAGTTAACTTAATCTCATGACGATCGTTGAATCGCATCATCATTTTGACATAAAAAATTCCCCCTGTAGTGTTGGTATAGGTATATAAATCTGGCTCCAGTGGAAGTGGTCCAGAACCATCATTACCTGTACTACTTTCGAAGTCGACTCTGTATGTCGACCCTTATCTCGGCGAATGTCCTTAGGACAAGACTGCTTTCTACTCTTTCTCTGTCCAGTTGGCGATGTCAGTGCCTGGTTTCTGCTAGAGTCGATAGTATTTGCAGTAGATAATTCCTTAATGGTTGGTCGATGTAGAATCGACTAGTCACGCTGTAATCTCCGAAGTCGATACATGACTTCCTGGAGATCAGGTCTGAGAATATAAACATATCTGGTCAAAATTTACTGCCAGCACCATATGTTTGTCCGATGTATTTGTTGACTGGGAGTTTGTTATAGTCGGTTGATCATCAGAAATGGTATCTCTTCCACTGACAGGGACGTAATCGTGACTGATGGGTAGTTGCTTTACCACAGATTTCACAGTTGGATGACCACTAGTCTTGGTTGAAAAGATTTCTTGGACGCAGAGTGTCCATGTTCGGTATCCTTGGATTTAGTTCGGTGATCAATCCTTCTCTTCTGGCCTTTTTTTGATAGACTGTAAATGCCTCTTGTATGAGAGTAAACCCGGTTGACAGATTCCATGACAATCGCAGCATAATGAGCTACAACCACTATTGAGAAATGCTGATTCACTCAAGTGGAAAAAATATATCACTCAACAAACATGACAGAGCACTAGTATATCACTAGTATGTAGTATGTCACAGCAAGTATACTAACTACACTCAATCATACCAGGTTCAAAAGATACCAATTTTGGTAATTTTCTACCATATCAATTATCACAGTGAAAGAATACATAACCTTGGTTACATACTGAAGCTCCAATATAGTTTTTTAAGCTAGTATATACCATCCTCAAAATACGACTGAATGTTTCCAACAGAATACCAATTTTTGTAATTTTCTACAATGTCAATAGTCAAGAAATATATCAACTCTTCTTTGTACTATTCCTACAAACAGATAAATGTCACTCTTTGAAAACAACTTATATTTGTTTTTAACACTAAAGTTTGAAATAATTTTCAGAAGGAATTCCAAAAGTATAATAAGTATAATGTTCATTTATAGTCAATGCACCACTGTAGCGACTGTTCAGATCTCCTCATCATGTTAATGAAGTGAAGTAGATCTATTTTAAGATTTTGTTTATCATTTAACCCCCTGGGTGCCACAGGGACATATATTTCCTTCCTCTACAACTCTCACTTTGAAGTCGAATAAAATTCAAAATACATCACCCACACGATCCCTGAATCAACGAAAGTCCCCTCGTAAAATCCCACGTACTGATGACAGTGAACACGCCATTTTGTAAAAGTCGGTCACCGGTAGTGATGTCATTCGTCAAAATTATTGAACATATTAGGTAATTTCTTTGAGGTGAAGGTCCTTGAATGCGAGTGCACATGATCATTGTACCATGCTGTTTACAGTTTCAGTTATGATGTAGATTTTGCATATCTTTTATACATTTTTTCACACAAATAATTTCACTTTGGATATTTTTCAATGTTCAAAAATAGTATCATACGTAAATATAGGCCACAACATGTATGAACGAACCTTTGATAATCTCCTGTTTGTTTGAACATTGTTTACATAAGAATTGATCGATAGGTTAATAGTGTCGAATACGATATTCCTTCCCTTTGGAAAAGTGTTACAAGATGAAGTGTAAAGTGTAAAACTGCAGCATGTACGTATTTCTTGGGATGTGTAATAGTCAATATTATAAGTTCATATAACCAATGTCCATGAATAGACGTTTCATTTTATTTCACAACTGAAACTGAATATATGACTTTCACAAAATGGATAATATTTTTCGTTAAAATATATGCTCACATTTCTGAAAGAATTGTCTTGGAATTGTTTTTTTATGTTGTTTGATACACAGAACAGTGATATCTAATGATTCGCCAGATGCGCGTTAGTCGCAAACAATTTACAAATTATTCCTCTCGTTTTGCATCATATAATCAATGGGTTCATTCTTTTTTTCAATATTGTGTTCACAGGATATTAAACTGTTTACTTTATTTCTCCATGAATTGTAAAAAGTATAAAAACAAAACCCATGCCAGGTACCCCGTTGGTTCAGCCTTATACGATTATCCTGATAATTCTATACCAACAGAGCTTTCTTCGCATCTTTTATTGAGTAATTCTGAGACGAGATGAAGAGAAATAATAACATAATAATGAACAAATATATGTCCAATATTGAATATAATTTTGATTGTTTTGAAATATTCTTTTGGGTATTTCATTACGTAATCTGATGCCAAACAGGTGCTTGTCTAGTCAAATTAAGATACACCATCTAATTGTTTACATATTCAAGACATTATTTACTTCGTGAAAGCAGTCATTTTATGTTGTGTCAACAAAACATCAAATTCTGTTTTCCACATTGAGATTTTCCATACCATGAATGAAAATTATGGGAGATATATATTGATCAAAATACCAGTGTCGTCTTTTTCCGACGTTATCAAAGACATAAAAACAGCCATGACGTCAAAAGGAATGGTGTTATTTTGGGGGTATTTCATTACATCTGATGATAAGGCTAGTGCTCCATTAATAATGGTGCAACATTGGTCAGATTACACTTACAGAATCAGGAGAATGTTGGAATCTAAGGACTAAGTTATAGGTTAGATAGGGTCATCCATTTCTCTTTTACCTTTTTTTTATGAAGTATATTTCATCATTTCTTATGGGTTTTTTTAATAACTAAACGTATACAGTTTCAATATGGATATTTGTGTTTGGTTCCTTGTGAACAAAACACCAAGAAAATATATTGTCCTTACCCACAGCTAGTTCTCGCCAAGTGACCTGAGTAACAATAAACTAGTGCTAAGCATAGCGGAGTTATGCCCTCTTTTCTTTGTATGTGTGTAACCTCTCTGTCGCCTTTTGACATCAGTTTTTGTCATTTACGGCATGCCATTTTTGGCATTGAATGTATGTCGTTATACATACGCATATAACCCCATTTGATATTTAGTTATGTCGTTCAGGTATTAGCCAGTATTTTGTTCGCTCACAGTTTCCGTAAAGCTTCTAAATAAAAAAAATCGTTTGCACAGTACTTGTATCGGTGTATGATAAAAGGCGGAGAAATTTACTGTTTTTCCTTGAAGAATAAATCCTCGGACAACACTTATAAGTGTATTTTTTGAAAACCGGTTTAATATTTGCAGTTAAATTTATACCAACAAATAGGAAGTTTAATATTCTCCACATCTGCATAATTTTATAGCCAGAGGTAAATCCAGTACCATGTGAGCGCAATTCTCGCACAACCTTCACTTTTCCAATCTTAGGAAAATGTGTGTCAGAAAAAAACCTCGGTATCCAGAGGGTTAACATACAGAAGGGGTTCACACAGAATATGTATAATATTTTTGATATAGTCATTGCATCATTGTCATGACTGTTCAAAGCACTTCGGTGTCACATCTTTTTATCATTTTCACCAGACAATACCGGAATGAAATACAGCGGAATAAATAGCCATCTGATAAATGGTCAGTTTCCTGCCAATGAAGAAGTTCTAGCAAAGAGTCATGTTAGCACACCACAGGGAAATCTCGGAAGTAAACGAAAGTACTTCTGATAGAAATAAGCATGGTCTATTTTAGGATTAAAACTTCCAATGTTTAAAAACTATCAGGGTCTTGATCACATCCCTATGCATGTCCTATTGGTTCATGTTGGTTCTGTGTATTGGACTGCTCACTTTTCATCTCGGTAGATGCTGATGGTGTTGAATCTAGAGCACTATCTTCTGATTTTGAAGATGAGAGTGGGTGAGTTTCCACAATCAGTCAGTCAATCTTGTCATAGCTCATCTCTTGTTTGGCTGTGGTAGGTCCTGCAGTACACTTCTCTGGGCCCTAGTTAGGTCATTGGCAATCCCTATGGCTTTTAGTTGACTTCTTTGTGAAATTGCTTGGATTTTCATGTTCATACTAGATAAATGTACTTATACTATAAATAGACAAGTACCTTGTGAATATGGGGTCTTGATACAGTCAGCACTTACTGTATCATACTTTGTCAAATTTGGGCTCAAAATGTTACAGTTTCTTTTAACATATATTTGTCTTCTTGTTCATTTCCGGATATACCATATACATACAGTTCCACATCATGGATTTTTTGCAGCGCCTCCAGATCAGCATGTATCTAAGTAATGCTAATGTCGTCTTTTACTTCCTGAATTTCCCTGAATAGATTCTCCAACATGGCCGACTTGTTTGGTGCCTTGGGGATGGGAAAAATGGCCAATTTTTCCCTCCATGATTCAATAGATATACCCATTGTACATCGATAAAGCACAGGTTTCCGATAAACCAATCTGTACAAACCAGATGTTGTTGGTTGGATTTGGTTATCGTGTAACTACCAATCTAACTAAACTAAATAACTGTCAGAGAACTGAAAACATGTATCGTCTCCTGCGAACAAGACGCAGTCTGTTCCATCAGCTGACCATTACTTGCCAATATTGTGCCAACATGCTTTAGGCAACTGTGTGAGAATATCAAGATTGAACATAATGGAAACCAGCTGAAGTTTTTTGTTCCACCAGGACAATGCACCTGTGAACAGTCTGTTGTTGCGAAGGTTGCATTGCATGATTGTGGCTTTGCAGTCCTTGGACATTATCCCATTATCTGTTTTTTAACCTGGTCAAGGGGAGATAATTCCTTGTCATTTATATATTTGTTGCAGGTGGCAACTTGTTGATAACCAACATCTTTGCAATTGTGATTGCCACTGATGTGTTTGAATTAGTTTTATTGTAACACAGACATATTGCCTATCTACACTTTTGCATCAATTTTGGATTGACACTGGTTCCGGAAAGATACGCTTCTGTCTTGCTGTACTCTGTTTTCCCAGCAGGGGACCAAGGAGGTGATTATGTTGGAGACTAATCAGCATCCAACTCCATCAACTCAGTCAATTATAGTTTGGCTCAGATTCCCCTCAGAGCTTACCTAGTATCATACTTATTTTTCTTATTTTGATGATGTTAAGGCCAATACTTGTATTAGACATTGGAAAAGATGTATCATATGTCATATTTGGCATTAACCTTTTTTTTAAAGTAAGTGAATGACAACATTTAATGCCATGACCCAATATGCCCTCGGTCATACACAGAAGGTGACCTTATAACCTTTGGTATCAGCATAAGATAAGATCAAAATGATTCAAAATAGAGTAATGCATAATGTCAAACAGCTGGTACACATGGGAGGCAATACATCCGTTATGGTCCATCACGACAGTCTAAAACCAACTTGCGAAATCTGTCAGCTGAGCTTGGTCTGTTAACTACTTGTTTTGTTGGTGGAGTTGGAATGTACTTTGCCTCACTGAGAGGGGATGCTTGTGGCGAGGGTAGCCGGTCTACTGGTATAACCTTCACACGACTAGGACTAACAGACCTTTTCCTTATTGGTCGATCCAATACTGTTATGTCCCTTAGTGATACTGGAGAAGAAGTTCCACAGTCTGGGCTTGCAGATGAACATGCTACTCCAGCATTGGAGTTTTCTTCGTATTGAGCCTTCACTGGTATACCGGGTATATTTTTCCACTTACAATCCCTGGAGGAAAACAGAACTTTCCCTGCCTTCTTGATGGGTTGAGACGGGCAAGCCATAGTACTTGTAGACTGCAGCCTAAAAAAAATGCAATGCAATCAAATGCAATGGAGAGAAATCCTTAAGCTGATAGAATTTGATATATAGTTATTATGATGTAACCTACTTTGATATTGACAGAAATGTTGGCTATAGAACTGATCATGTGCTTATATCTGACACATTAACATTTAAAATAGTCCAAAAGAATATCAGGAAGTAGAAATACAAGATATGAGCATTACCAATAACTTAACTGAAATATATATTTGACTAGCTACTATATCTGACCTTTGATCAATAAGAAATTGAAGTTTCTTCAATTTTCAAATTGTCATTTCTAGGAATTATAACTTTTGAATCATGGATACCAACCCATGTGGCTGGATATCAACCTAGACTTTACATTAGGAACTGTTTATCAGTTCAGTTAATAACATCCAGTTATACTTGATAACATATTCCCTAGAAACCAAGATGTGATGTCATCAACTTGTGGTTTACATTTCACCCTTTGGTTCAAGTGGGTTACCTTTTTGTTTATAATGTAACAGTAGTAAATGTAATTTGCATTCACTTCCTAAATTCTACTAAACTCCTTATACTTATTAAAAAATATACAGTTTATGCAACAGAAAAAGTCTATTTTCTCTAAAACTAACCTAAAGTGTGGTTTGGGTACAAAAGTAGGTCTGTTTGGTAGAGAAGCAGGAACCGTGGCGTGGGTCAGAAGCTCTTTCTCCAGGGCAGCCCTTTCCTCTTTTAGTTCTGAAGTCAGACATCAAATAAAAGTCAACACTTATCAGTATGTAGTAGTTGGTAATTATGTACCTATCATTACCAGTAAGTGTAATGTCAGTTTTTATTTTAATCCCAAAGTCTCAGTCCTTGCTCAATGACCCATGACCCTGTACAATAGTACAGTCACCATTGTGCTTGCTTTCTCTTTTGTTTCTTTGGGTCTCTTTTGTCTAGCCACAGCCCCTGCCTCAGCCATATTTATTCAATGACATGGTGCCTTATGGGACTGGTCAACTTGCAATTTAGACTTCCATTTCAGTTTGTATTGGAGAAAGTTCACTTTTTATCACTGGAATAAATAATCATTTATCAAAGGTTAGTTTATGTGTGATGTAATCTTCTATTGTATTCAGATTTATTGACAGAAGCTCGAAAGAATCACACAAATTTATTGTCATATCCAACATGCAGATGGGAGGCCACATGGTCCACTCTTCCCAAAGTGATGACGTCCTACACATATTCTATTATCCTCACGGTATTACATAATAGCGCAACTCATCACATCTCCCCTTTTACCTGTCATTTAAACATTAGTGTCCTTTCATACCTTTTGAATAAAAAGTTACTGAAACAAATATTGAACATTCATTCTGAATAGAATGAATTAAACATGTTAAACATCAGATCATGTTCAGGATCGTCATTAAGCATCATACAATCTTTGCATAATACTGAAAAGTAACAAATGGTAAATGCATCAGACATTCATAAATGAACACAGAACAACTTGTTCCATTAAATTCAAAGAAAACACATGTCAAATGTCATAAAGTTATAATGTCTTTGAGTTGACTTTGAGATTTGCACAGATATTTATGCACACTGATTTAATGTCTGAACAGTATCTTATAAATCAAGTCTATCAGGTGGCCGGATAGTGCAACCACTTCTGGAAGTTACAGTCCCTTGTACAGGTGTGGCTGTGTTCGTGACAGGTGGTGGTTTTGTTTCGCAGATCTTTGGTGTAGCTTGTTTCATCGGAGATGACTGGTTGACTGGTGAGGATGTTGCTAATCCAGGCCGGTTACATGTTGACATTGGGGTTGACAGAGTTGTCTTCCCTCTACCTGCTGGTTTCAGGTGCATTCTGTTCCGTCGAAGCGGGTTTCCATTTGATGTTAGTAGTTGATGTGATCTCGGCTCTGACAGAGATTTAATCACTTTGGCGTTGACCCAGCTTTTGGAGTTATTTTCAAACTTGACTACATCTTGTCCAGGATTCAGTTTTGCTGTTCATTTCCTGCATGAGCGTCATAGTGACTTTTATGGTTATTCTGACGCTCAGACTGTGCTCTCTGCAGTCTGCCAGTTGTTGGAAGCTGAGTACAGTAATCTCTGTGGTTCAAGAGTTTTGCAGATGATTATAGGTCCCTATCAACAGGTGTTGTCCTGTATGACAGGAGTCCAAGATATGGGTCTTGATCTGCAGCTTCAGACTTTTTCAGCAAGTTCTTCACGGTTTGCACCATGCATTCCACAAAGCCATTGCTCTGCGGGTATGTTGGAGAACTTGTCACATGCTTGATTCCCCATGTGTCACAGAAGTCATGGCTGCTATATTGCGGTCCATTGTCCGTGATGATAGTTTCGGGGATGCCATATTCAGCATAGATTCATTTTGTGTGATTGATGATGTCACATGATGTAGTCCCATTTAACTTTCTGAGTACAGGGAATTTGCTGTAGTAATCATGCAGCAATCAGGAGGTATAGTTTACCTTTGTAGTCTAGGAGATCAGATCCAAGTTTTGCCATGCGAATGAGGGCACATTGTGAGGTTGCATGGGCTCTTTTATCTGTTGTTTTGAGAACTGTAAACATGTAGCACAACTGGACGTCAGCTCTTTAATGTCCTTTGTGATTCCAGGCCATAATATACATTCTCTTGCCTTGAGTTGACATATCTCAGCTCCCATGTGTCCTTGGTGTACAATTACAAGCATTTGTGTTCTCATTGTTGAAGGAACAATAATTCGATGGCCTTTCAAGACAATGCCAGTAGTATAGGTAATGGGGGTTCTGGCTCACTTCAACTGGAGCCAGATTTATATACCTATACTGCTACTACAGGGGGAATTTTTTATGTGTAAATGATGATGCGATTCAACGATAGTCATGAGATTAAACTAAATTCATTATTATATATTTATGTAAGCATTCTTCTAAATGTTGGTTTTGACACGGATTAATTGTTGTCTCCGAATATTATCGTGTTTAAATGCTTTCTTTTGCAACTTACGAGAAATAAATTTTATTGCTATTCCTGCCAGTCCTGATTCTCCGGCGGCTATTTCCATGCCAAGTACGATAGGCGCGGCAATTATAGTTGATAATAAACCAACACTGGCTACACCGAGTCCCATGCTAGCTGTTACAAGCGCGGTGTCAACTCCGTCGAGAGCATTCATGGCTCTGCGATACTTTTTATACAATCCAAGTCTCAACTCCCTCTCCTTCTCTATTCGATGTTTTATGTCGCTTATTTGATGTAATCGAAATCCATCAACTTCATCGAGCGCCGGATATAAATCCATATTATTAGTATATCATATAATAGTCTTTAATTGGTCTTGCTTAAATGTTTTGAGAGTATACATCAATCTTATCAAATGTATATTATAAGGCATGAATAGCTTAGTAAGAGAAATTCTGTCACTTTTAATAATTTGGACCCCCTCAAGGGTTGCAACGGGTGATGCTCCAATATGAATAATACTGCAACGTTGATGTTGGTGTTTCTTTAGCCATTTAATAGATAGACCTGGTAATATTTCGAAGGCATCTTCCGGTGCATCTCCGAACAAGACTTCAATAATAAGTGTAGAAAGATTAGGTATTGCACTCAAGTTCTGTTTAATATCATTGAATTCAGTAACCAAATTTAAACTAACATTTTTTGATGCAGGACGACTATATAACATATGACCTGGGTTTTCTGGTAGGGGAGAGACCAACTCACTTTTTTGTTTTGACGGGATATAAGCCCCGAGTACGATCCCACTATTTATTATCTTAGTTAAATTATGTGCCTTAACCGTCATCACATACTGTGGGGTAATGACGATATTCATTAGCCACTCGATGTTTGCTTCGACCATAGTCCATTTATTATCATCGTTGCGAGTAAGATTATACGAAGTGTTTTTAATGAGTCTACTAACGTCGACATCGCTTATATCTCCTAGATTACCTGTGAATGTAACTTCTTTCCGCTTGTATACATTATCTTGTAAGTGTAAAGCGTATAACTTACCATTGGTACCGGGTTTACCGAATCCTTCTCTGTCTCTGAGATCGGAAAGCGCAATTGTATTACATTGTCTGAGCGTTCCACGGCCTGATGAATCAACCATCATTTATAATATGGAGTGTTACACTCAAGTATCCTATATGTACAGGTTGATGTTTTACATCTAATACAGAAATTTTGAGGTCTGAAATAATACCACGCTTTAATTTTTTATATTGTAATGATGACAAAGATTCTGTTCTACCACTATTGTATTTTTCATCTTTGACTGGAACAGCTCTGAGTAGAGTTGAAGGACTTTCTAGTTGAATATTATCAGTCGTGCTTATTTGATCAAGATGGATGCACATCTCTTTATAGGGAACTAAATCAGGTAATTTAACTCCCCCAAATGTTGTCTCAATTAATGTTAGTTCTCCTCTAAATCCAAGTGTAATTCCTAAGTTCATGAAAAGCTTTACACCCTTTTCTCCAGCGTTTAAATTCAGTATCCCATTCGACTCATTTTGTGTGAGACTAATTCCATTAGGCTTAAAAATTTCATCATTGAGTGAGCATACACTGTAATACCCATCAGGTATAATAATGTATTTGTCAATAACATTGTTTTCACCTAATATATATATCTCATTATTACCTCTTGCAGCACTTATATTGGTCCACCGTGGGTAATACGTTACATCGCATAGGGCGACTTCAAGTTGTCCATCCGAGATATCGATAGTATGAAGCAGTTCAATAGACTGACCATTTGTTATTCCCGGGAGTGTGACATACATAGTAAATATACAATGATACTATATCATAACTTAAATATGAAATCAACTTATATTACTAATCAGTCGATTTTAGTAAGTGCCTCTCCTGCTAATTTTTTTGTTAAATTTCCTGATAACTGAAAAATACAGGTTCACGGCAACTAGCAATAAAATGGTGCACGATTGGTTCCACAATCCAGTGCAATTTTGGCAGAACCAGTTAAACTTTGCCATATGGTGTGCCACAACAGGAGGTGTATCTCTTTATGCCCAAGGATTTGAACTAAATAAGTCTGTTTTATCATTTCACGTGTACTATCAGATTAGACGTATACTTAAAGAAATTAGTGCTCCTTTACCGAAGGATTGAGCATGGAATGCATCAAATAATCAGACAATAGGTTCGCATATGAACGTATTTGTCAGGAATTTAATATTGCTACGAGTAAAGATTGGCGTATTAAAGGAATTAACCATGGTCTAGGTGTTCCGTACAGTGGACAAAAAACTGTTAAAGAAGAAAGCGATGATTTAGTTAAAAAAACTCATCAACCATTCGATCCATTTAAGTTGTTACAGAAAAACAATCTTTTTGTAAGATTGTATAATTTTAATCATGGCTGGGAACTTTCGAGTAACGGTTGGAGAGGAGATCTTATGAGTTTTAAGGGTGGTTTGGCTTATATTGTTACAAAATTTGTACAACTGAACGATACCGCAAACGCTTGGAATGAATTTCTATATGATAAAACTGAAAATAATTTTACTAACCCAGGAGTTGTAAGAGTTAATGAATCAATAAGAACTGTATGGGCAATTCTCGGTGCACAATCGCAAACACGAACGGGAATCATCGGTGGTTCTGGGACGGCACTCGATGCACAAAAACAGTTGGTTGCAAACGTGGAGGATGCTATTAATTCACCAGTTGACATACCATCTTCTATAAAGCGTTA